TATAACGCGATAATTAAAGATGACACACACACACATACTTGGTAGATGTTGGTCCAGCAACTCTTCTATTTACCACTCAATACAATATCAAATTTTTAATATTTCAGTTTGATTTCAGTTCAGTTTCACTGTCAAAGAAAGTATGAAATTATAATTTGCATCAAGTTTTACAAAATAACATTTAAGGAATTTAAGAATAAGGTTGAGCCAAACCAACTTCTACCAAGAACAATCTTTAATCGAATCTTTGTACACACTTTGTAAGACGTACGTTACATGACCCTGAGCAATGCGTTGGCAGCCCTAGTTCACTTGCGGACTCAGGTTTGGGACAACATGAACTAATTTTAGTTAAAACTATTTCACATAATATCAATTTTAAAACTTTTTTAGTAAATTCATCCTCTAAATATTTACATATTAAAAACTTTTTATTAGAGCCAATAAGTAAACATTATCGTATTCATTCAGTACATACTCATGGACATTTAATAACCAATTATAAGCACGAACAAAGGAGTTCTAAAAGAAACAGCAGCCCGCAAGTGACACTAAAACCCAACTACCTATTTATCGTACCTACGATATGATACGTAATGAAAAATAGACTTTATCACCTCTACATAGGTTTGATATCGTATAAACTTGCCTTAAGCTGCGTCTAACTATAGTTTATTACTACGATAGTGATATAATTTGAATTCCTATTGTAAATGGCGGCTAAGTATGCAGCTCACTGGCGAAGGTGCTAAATGCAGAACAGTTTACACCTACTAAGAATTGTAAATAATTGTCAAGATACGTGACGTTCAAATTGATAAATATATTACAATATTGCACAAAATACCAGATCCCTTTTTACAGTTTAAAATCTTACTAAGTTGTAAACAAAGTGCTAGGACGAAAACCCTAAAATAACACAAAATGTTCAAATCAGAATATACTGTTAAACTACTGTTCAACACTTTTACTGTGTGTCACTCGTAACATAAGTATCAGCATTGTTTAATCCGAGGAAAGATTTGAAAATGTGGATTAAATATTAAACTTTTATATTCAGCTAAAATTTTAATTTTACAACGTTCCAAGCTTGCAATTCATTTTAACCTTTTTTATTTAACCCAACCCACACAAGTTTCATTTACAATACCATCACAAGTTATTTTTATTTATTTTTTATATCACAAAAGTGTATTTTTACTATCTTAATTATTAATTTACGTACGATTAACCAATCAACAACTGATCAAATAACCGACTTGGTAATTAACTAGACGGGCTAAATATCAATGAACTATGTGAGTATAGTGAGCGAATAAGTATAGTTTAAGCACTATAAAAATGCCTTGAAAACTTTAACAAGGTATTTTTTCTAACTTCCTGGAGTCACTACCTTTAGAATGTTAAGAAAGATTAGCTCGGTACAGTACCAATTTCGTACCGATTTTTTACCTAGTAAATAAAAAGTATGTAATGTGAAACAGGTCGCGTTCACAATGAACGTCTTTTACTATTATGAATAACCTATTATTGAAAAAAGCGGAAAATTACTTTAAATTTTTTCCTCAAAGTCAAAACCGTCAATTCGTCTATTAAATTATATTCTATCACATTTATGATAACGTCCAAGCCCAGCTTAGTATTCATAAAATCATTATTCACAAATGATAGTCACCAACCTAACTACCAATGGTGAATTTGCATTGATGAATCTATCTACTATAATCTTATTATAATTGAAGAAATAATCGTCACTATTAACCATTACCTAAATGTAACAGTTAGTATTCTATTACATTGGCTTTCATACAAAGATTCTCTCACAAGATACACCTCTTTTCTTAATTAATAAATGTCAAAAGACAAAACACTGATGACTTTAATTTACCAAAAAAGAAAAGGCGTCTACTTTCAGATTAATTGATTTAATGTATTTCACTACCTTTTCTCTTTCTCTGCAGTCGATAAAATTTCATACTTTATGAAAATATCCGCAGCATATAATTTTATGTCGTTCCTATCACGATAAGATACCTTTAAGTTTAACTTTAAAACCGTCAAGGCAGTCATATTTGTTATTTACACGTTGTTGCCACAGACCTGCCTGTATTGTCGCTATTTTTTATTCTAATTCAGATTTTTATGTTACAGATCGCCCGATTATCCAGCTCAGTTAAGACAGAGACAAGGCGATATTTTATTTCACTCACACGTATTTATGTCCATAAGAAAATAACTCTTATGAGCATATAAATACGTGTTATTAGTAAGAGCACCTCAAGAGCTGTTGCACTAACAAACTACTTCGCGGTGCGACAGCTTTTTTAGGATATCGCAGGCCAAATTCAACCTAATTGTCTATGCTGTTTATAATGCATATCAATGCAACTAACAGTTTGACATTAAGGTTAACGGCCTACACGATAGAGGAAAGGGTCGCTAAAACCTTTAAATAAGTTCCCATCACCCAAAAACTAGTGTCAATTATTTACAGTGTTGGGGCATCACACGACCGAGCTAAGCCCCGCCCCCTTCGTCACAGACTAAAGAATCATCATAACACTTCACAGTACATCTGTTAAATCTTTTAGGGCACCATTACTGACCACTCTGCTGGACCGCCGGCAGTAGTAGTTGGCGGGCGCGCAAACCTAGTTCATCTATTTACAGTGTTGGGGCGTTACTGAGCTAAGCCCCGCCCCCTTCGTCACAGACTAAAGAATCATCACAGCACTTCACAGTACATCTGTTAAATCTTTTAGGGCGCCCACATTACTGACCACTCTGCTGGACCGCCGGCAGTAGTAGTTAGCGGGCGCACAAACCTAGTTCAATTATTTACAGTGTTAAACGGCTGAGCTAAGCCCCGCCCCTTCGTCACAGACTAAAGAATCACCATAACACTTCACAGTACATCTGTTAAATCTTTTAGGGCGCCATTACTGACCACTTTGCTAGATCTCCGGCAGTAGTAGTTAGCGAGCGCGCAAAGCTAGTTCAATTATTTACAGTGTTAAACGGCTGAGCTAAGCCCCGCCCCCTTCGTCACAGACTAAAGATTATAACACTTCACAGTACATCTGCTGAATTTTTTAGGGCGCCCACATTACTGACCACTCTGCTGGACCTCCGGCAGTAGTAGTAAGCGTGCGCGCAAACCTAGTTCATCTATTTACAGTGTTAAGCGGCTGAGCTAAGCCCCGCCCCTTCGTCACAGACTAAAGAATCATCACAACACTTCACAGTACATCTGTCAAATCTTTTAGGGCGCCCACATTACCACTCTGCTAGATCTCCGGCAGGAGTAGTTAGCGGGCGCGCAAACCTAGTTCAATTATTTAGTGTTAAACGGCTGAGCTAAGCCCCGCCCCTTCGTCACAGACTAAAGAATCATCATAACACTTCACAGTACATCTGTCAAATCTTTTAGGGCGCCATCACTGACCACTTTACTAGACCTCCGGCAGTAGTAGTTGGCGGGCGCGCCCCCCCGGGCCTAGCTTCGCTCGAGGGGGGGGCTGAGCGGGCTGCGGGGACGGCATCACCGCGACGGGCAAGAGCTGGCGCCCGACTTGCCGCTGAGGCACGAGAACCCGCTCGTGCCGGACTGCAGGCTGGACATGGAGCCCCTGGGGGAAGAGTTGATTAAAGTGTTGGAAGGAAATGAAGTTTGATTTTTTCATCCCAAAACACAAAACCTTACACCACATTTTTCACGAGTACGCCAAGGAGATCAATTGTACAGTCGCGGAATGAAAAGGTTCGTCACCTTAGTGTCGGTTTTCGCTTGCACTAGGTACTGTAAGAGTCAAACCTGCCAACATAACAGTGCAAGAAACAGTGCTGCTAACATTAAAATAAATTATGACGTTTGCTAACGAATAAGGTTTTGCTTGTTTATTTTTCTATCCCATCAGTGCAATGCAATGATGACATTNGATACTAATAAGTATAAAAGTAGGAGTAACACGACTCATTTTTGGTTGTTTTTAGAGATAAATGTATAAAAATGATAAAAATTAATATAATCAATATTCTCAAAATTTGACGTCCTAAATTTTTTCTAAGTTCAGTTTTTAAGTAAGGGTTAATAACTCTAACGATACATATCAGTTTCATCTCTGGGTAAAAAACCTTGTAAACTAGTGTTATTTACAGTGTTGGGGCGTCAAACGACCGAGCTAAGCCCCGCCCATTTCGTCACAGACACAGAACCTAACACTTCACAATGCATCTGCTGTTAGGGCGCCCACATTACTGACCACTCTGCTAGATCTCCGGCAGTAGTAGTTGGCGGGCGCGCAAACCTAGTTAAATTATTTACAGTGTTAAGCGGCTGAGCTAAGCCCCGCCCCCTTCGTCACAGACTAAAGAATCATCACAACACTTCACAGTACATCTGTCAAATCTTTTAGGGCGCCATTACTGACCACTCTGCTAGATCTCCGGCAGGAGTAGTTAGCGGGCGCGCAAACCCAGTTCATCTATTTACAGTGTTGGGGCGTTAAGCGACCGAGCTAAGCCCCGCCCCCTTCGTCACAGTCTAAAGAATCATCATAACACTTCACAATACATCTGTTAAATCTTTTAGGGCGCCCACATTACTGACCACTCTGCTACATCTCCGGTAGGAGTAGTTAGCGGGCGCGCAAACCTGTTTAATTATTTACAGTGTTGGGGCGTTAAGCGACCGAGCTAAGCCCCGCCCCCTTCGTCACAGACTAAAGATTATAACACTTCACAGTACATCTGCTGAATTTTTTAGGGCGCCCACATTACTGACCACTCTGCTGGACCTCCGGCAGTAGTAGATAGCGGGCGCGCAAACCTAGTTCAATTATATTTAAAGTGTTGGGGCGTTATATGACTGAGCTAAAGTTAAGCCCCGCCCCCTTCGTCACATACTAAAGAATCATCACAACACTTCACAGTACACCTGTTAAATCTTTTAGGGCGCCATTACTGACCACTCTGCTGGACCTCTGGCAGTAGTAGTTGACGGGCGCGCAAAGCTAGTTAAATTATTTACAGTGTTAAACGGCTGAGCTAAGCCCCGCCCCTTCGTCACAGACTAAAGAATCATCGCAACACTTCACAGTACATCTGTCAAATCTTTTAGGGCGCCATTACTGACCACTTTACTAGACCTCTGGCAGTAGTAGTTGGCGGGCGCGCCCCCCCGGGCCTAGCTTCGCTCGAGGGGGGGGCTGAGCGGGCTGCGGGGGGGGCATCACCGCGACGGGCACGAGCTGGCGCCCGACTTGCCGCTGAGGCACGAGAACCCGCTCGTGCCGGACTGCAGGCTGGACATGGAGCCCCTGGGGGAATGGATTGATTAAAATGTTGGAAGGAAATGAAGTTTGATTTTATTATCCTACTATTACTAATATTATAAATGCGAAAGTTTGTATTGTCTGGATGTGAACATGTTTGTTACTTTTTCACGCAAAAACTACTGAACGGATTTTGATGAAACTTTACAGTATTATTGTTTATAACCCAGAATAACATATAGGCTATAATTTATGACGATCTGTGACAAACTAAATTTCACGCGGGTGAAGCCGCGGGCAAAAGCACATAATTATAACACAATCTTTTTTGCGAGTCTTGTGAGGAGATAAATGGATCTAATTTTTAACTTATCAGTAGATACTCACTTGACACCACTCTCCTTAAGAAGAACAACATCATAATAAGACATACATCAGGGGGCGTAGTGTGAGTTTACGTCAAACGCATTCGATATCGACTACGTTAAAAAAATTGAGATTTTAGTTCTTGAAAGTTTCCAATAGGAGCGCCGTACGTACAACCGTCATACATTTAATGTCCCTTTTTTACGCAGTCGATATCGAATGCGTTTGACGTACTCACACTAAGCCCCCAGGTCTCCCTAACTTGTCTGAGCAGTGTGACGAGTGTCGGCCAAATGAGGATTTGGCCGACGCTCATCACACTGCTATTTGCGTCTAAAAAATTAGACGGTCTAACGTAGTCACGGGAGGTACCTGGATGTGGTAAGCTCAGGACTGGCCGTTGTGGAAATCCTTGGGATCTTTGTTCAGTAATGGACTTCATTTGGCTGAAACGAACGAAAATAGAGAACCGTCCTCCTCACCACTTGAGTGCAGTAAAGATTAAATTAATGATCTAATAATTTATTTATTTATTTAAATACTTTATTGCACACACAACAATGTTCAGTACAAAAAGGCGAGCTTAATGATGGCATTATATTTATGGAAGTCATTCTCTGCCAGCTGACCTTGAGCAAAATTGAGACATTGAGTAGGCGGTGCTAAAAAGCTACAAAAATGTACACAATATTATAATACACTAGCTTTCCGCCCGCGGCTTCGCCCGCGTGGAATTTTGTCTGTCACAGAAAAACTTTATCGCGCGCGTCCCTGTTTCAAAAACCGGGATAAAAACTATCCTATGTTCTTTCCCGGGACTCAAACTATCTCTATGCCAAATTTCATCAAAATCGGTTGCGAGGTTTAAGCGGGAAAGCGTAACAGACAGACAGACAGACAGACAGACAGACAGACAGACAGACAGACAGACAGACAGACAGACAGAGTTACTTTCGCATTTATAATATTAGTTGGGATAAAATGATGACGGAGACTCACTTGTAGTGGTGGCTGGCGAGCGTCTCGTGGAAGTAGACCAGCTGCGCAGCGCGATGAGCCGAGTCTAGTAGCTCACAGCGCCATTGAAGCACGTAGCTGCCGCATTCCAGCATCACGTGTGATCCCTGGATACCACCACAATTAAAATATTTTTATTTAACAAAAACACGGCTTTTGATTTAGTCAATTTTTCATCCTTACAACGCGGGCTAATAAGAGCTATCGCTTTTATACTTAACAGTTGGCATTACTGGTGCTTTACATGACCCTAATCTACGGTGGCGCCATTCCTGATGTATGCAAAAGCGATAGTCTTCCTACCGCTTTTACATACTCTACAGTGGCGCCAACTGGTAGGCGCTAAAACGATAGCTCTTATTGTTTACTTCTACATCCGTTCCTAATTTATGTAGCACCACTGGTAAATAAGGATAGTCTTTACAATAAAGTGGTTTTCTTTATTTTGTTATCTACCATAGTTGGATCAAATTATTTTGAAAAACAAAAACAAGTACGAGTATAATGTTCACGACGATATTTTAAAGTATTATAGTGTGAAATCAAGGTTAAGCTTAGAAAATGGTCGGCAAAATGATTAAGTAAATGAGTGTCAGTGTAAATACACACCTGCACACTTTCTCCGTCGTGGCAGACCAGCGTAGGCTCGACTCTGTGGTAGTG